AGTGGTGTATGATGAGTGGTGTATGATGAGTGGTGTATGATGAGTGGGTGTATGATGAGTGGGTGTATGATGAGTGGTGTATGATGAGTGGTGTATGATGAGTGGTGGTTGAACAGCTGTTGAATGTCCGTAACACGGAAGTTTTGCACACTAAACTTCCTTTGGTAAGAAATTAAGAAAATTTCACCACTCGCCTGATATATGCTTTTAATTGCTTATATAAGTACTGTAATTATGCCAATTATGCTATATCATGTCAAAGCGCGCATGGTAGGCTCACAAAGACCATCACCCATACTGTGAGCAAAGACTTCTGCTGCTGGTTTTCTGGTTGCATGTCATGAATGCAAGACATTAACTCAAGGCAGCCGATTGAAAGCGTCGGCCACCTACTCACGCTCTCAAGCTAGAGCTGCAGTAGTTCTACGATTGATCTCGCAGTTCTTCAATTCCGAAGTCTGAAGCAAACTTTGCAAACAAGAAACTGTCCACATATTTCCTCTTTCCTCTAGCCTAGCTATACCCAGCCCCATGTGCCCAAGGTAGAAGACAGAACCGCTTGGAACTGCTAGCACTTTGGCAAGCTTGGTCATGGTGAAACGTCAATGTACATCGGTTCGCCAGAAAACCCCTCCCAGGGGACCCTGCAAATCTCTTTGGCTTGGCACCATCATTCTTTGTCTAGAGTTCCACCTCTTGACTTTGGCGGCTCTATCTCATCCGAGTCTGCTCCTTACCAACATCAGGGAAGAATATAGCAACAATCTCAATCTCTGCTCTCTCTTCAACCCACCTCAGCCCCATTAAACTATAAATAGGAAATCATAAGGAACTTATTGTGCAGATTACACAAACACCAAGTTGCGAGAACGTCCACACCGGAAGAAGCTGAGGAAGCTCTTACTGGGCCTGCTGTCTTTACTGTCTTTCTCACCTTCAGGGGCTTTGCGGAACTTCTGAGCTTGTGCCTTCCACCTGTCCCACGATTCCTCAGAGAGGAGATCGAGAATATCTGCCCCAGTGTCGATGTGGACAATCTGCGGGCCTCATTCAGTATCAAAACCAAAGTTGCCCCGATTATATAACGGTATGAACGCATTAAAACCAGGTCAAAGCTGCAAGGTAACATGTGCAAACATCACCGCAAAAAATGGTTTCTGCATAACTGTTCCTTCCTTGAAACTCCACTTCCAAACTGCAGGGCTCTTGATGGGGAAACAGAAGGATCGCAAACAATCAACGCCAACTTTTTTCAGAAACGCGCTGCCACGGCCTCGTCGCTCGAAGGCCAGCAGCATCACATCGGTGATGGGCCGAGACACTGTGCATTGCTCTGCAAGCAGTTCATTTGCTTTGGGTATCATCCCTGAAGGGTGGATCGCTCCAGAATTGTTTGCACAAAACAGTTCCCGCATGTGGCGTCCTTTCCAGATTTGTGAACATGTGCATACAGAATAAACGCATATAAACGCCCTATGATCACCAATAAATTCCATCTCCTATGCAAATACATACTACGCGTCGCCGCTACGAACATTTCTTGGCAAATACTTGCTACATCTTGCTACTATATACGTAGCCTTTCTCGGGTTGATACTCCTGCGCGACGACAACAACAACAACAGTGAATTCACCAATCACTGTAATTGTTTTGCTATGATTGGCATGCTGGAGCGTTGATTCGCATCTTGATTCCCTATCCCAATGCTGCTGAATATATGCATACAGTATATAGGCGATGTGTGAAGCTGCCCGAAGATTCTTTGGTGCCGGTGCCGGAAAGTTTTCAGGCATATATTGTATAGCATGTACAAACAGGCAATGATCTCATAGGACAAGGGCGTGCATCCATGTAGATAGCCTCCCCCCGTGAGCAAAGCCTTTTGTCTGTTGTGGTTCTCCCCGTTTTGAACCAGTTTGGAAGTCTTTGTTTGGCGTACTTCGAGGCGTGCACGAGTTGTTTGAAGTTTTAACTTTGCTATTTGGAAGCACCGGGTTGATCAAACCGCGCCTTCGGCCACCTTGAGCAAGGTCTCCAGGTTGGGCTGTGATTCATCCCACTGCAAGGACTTCCAAAGCTCTACGAGCGGATCAGGAGCTCCCAGGATCGACTGACCATGGGAGTCCACCACTGCCACGCTCAAGCACAAAATCCCGGCTAAGCCTCGAAGCTCCACGAAGTCCAAAACGCCCAGGAGCATGCCAAAGGGAAGCCAACGAGCAAACAAAGTTAGCCAAGCATCCAGCAAAAAGGCATTGAGGATCACATCCTGTGTCTGAAAGGACTCAGCCAAAGCTTCTGACTGAAAGGTCAGAAGCACGTCGAATGCTTGCTTGGCAGTCTCAAAAATGTGGAAACCTGGAAGCCAAAGCTCACGGACCTTCTCCAAGCAAGATTGGAACCGTGCATCCGCCATGGGGTCAGATAAATTCACGCAAAGCACTGCAGCGGGAAAGCTCATGCCTTGATTGTCTTAACTCTTGGCACACCATGGCTAAAGAGGTTGTTAAACTGGCTGCTACTGGCAGCAACCTTCCATTCACATACAGTAATTACATCTGAACTTGGGTTCTTGCTATTTTTGGATGCATCAAGCATGCAGGAAAAAACACACACAAACAAGAGCCTATTCATTGGTGGGTTCATTGGCGGTAAACCTTGTCATCACATAATGTCTGTGTTCAGGAAATGTCTTGCCTTGGCAGTATCCGATATGGGGATTGGCTCTGCTGTACGCCAGCAGCACCCTTCGGATCCTCTCCCGCTCTCGGTCCACCGCTGGCACACGAGGAAACGTTCGTGGCAAATCACGGTCGATCTGCACAGCCACCTCAAACAAGTCCCATACTGGCAAAAGCCTTCACTAGTGTTTCGCATCTGACTTGACTAAATAATTCAAGTGTCTTGCCCATTCATACATTCTGTTCCTCTATAATGATACGTAGGCAGTTTCATGTTGTGTCTTGGCTCTCAAGCAACCCAACCTGCTTTGCATAATCTGAGAGCTCAGCAGCAGGAAGTGGAGCGGAGCTGTCAGGGAGGTCCCCTTGCCTCACAGCAGCTTCCTCCAGCTGCCTCTCTTCCTGCGAGGGCCTTCTACTAGAAATAGCCTTGGGCTGTTGGTGTGAAGTGGCAGCTGCACTGGATGGAGCTTGTTGGATCACTTCCTCAGGAGGCGCTTGATCTGCTTGTTCCGTCGGTACGTTGGGAGGTGCTTCCGCTGCAGGTTTGGCCATTGCCTTTGCAGGAGCTTGGTCCCCTTGTTGAACCTTTGCCTTGGGAGGCACTTGCTCCGCTTGTTTCACCAGTGCTTTG